ATATGGACATTTGCATGTTCAGCCTTAATTAGGCTGTAGTTTGGATATTATACCTTTTGATGGGTATTCGATACCTGTTAGAGACAATTCAATCATAATAAAGACTTGCTTGATACATATTTAAGAGACATGTAGATATTAAGCTAACGTCTAAAACGTAATATTCTCTAGGTAATTTGAACTTGGAACAAAAATTACATCGCCTTTCTTATATCTAATTGTGTCTACACACTGTCTGTAGTTTATGCGAGTAGTGCACATTAATATAAAACATAAATAACGGTTTAAAACGTGAAATATAAAATTTAAACTTGTTTAAATAATATTATTAACTAACACAAGGTTTCGGTATTAGGGTTAGGTAACCTAAGGTGCCTTAAAAGAGGTACTTAACTATAAGATTAAGGCACATTTTACTTATCATTTAATATTATTACGACACTGGAAATATGTTTTAAATAATTCATAATAAATGGTTTTGTTCAAAGTTTTGCGTATACACCGTCATACAAATTGATTTTCATTTGTAAATCGCAAGATGTTACATCATTTTTATGTTTTTAGGAAGGATAGTTAATATTTCAAGAGAATATTTCAATGTAACTATTGATGTAAAAATCTTTTAAAACAATTTAACTTTTTTAGTGAATTCTAGTGAGTCTTTAACATCATTTAGGGCACTAAATATAAAACTTAATTCACTGGTTGGTGACATCTGAGTAAATGAAAAAAAAGGATATCGGGACACAAAAATAATATTAGCATAATTCACCCCATCTGTCCGTCACGATTTTTCCTTCTTCATTGGGTGACGTTCCTTCGCCAATTATTTACAATTTGACAAGCAAATGAATAACTTCGCCCGATTCCTGGTATGACTGCTGGCGATGGCACTTCGTTAGGGAGATCGTTCATTAATTTCCCAGGAAAATCTATTTTCAAGTACGCAAAGTAAACATTGCTTTGATTAACTTTTAGAAAAAGCACGATTTATTCTGAAAATAACTCATATAGTTAAAAATATTATTCATTACGCCCTTAATAAGTAGCTAAATATTAGAAAGATATATAAAGTTCTTTTAACTGATTGAAACGTGAATACAATTTTAACAACGAATCTATGTTTCGGTTGCTTTAAGGCAGTGAGGATTATTTCTCGATTCAAATCTTCAAGTGTGCTTCATTTCATGTGTACTCGGGAGTAGGTAGAACGAACCGTAGGTTTGATCTTCACAGATCCAACATTTTTCAAGTCAAATTAATAAGTTTTCGGAAACATGTCATCTGAATGGGCATTAAATGGATGGGAGGAATCGAAACTCCGTCCAGGATAAACGAGTGAATGAAATGGAAAAGCCAAACTTGACGGCCTTTCCATTTCATTAACTCGTCCAGAATCGCGTTCCGGTGTTAGTCATCGCATCTTGATTAGATATAGCCAGTCGTATTTTACCTACCATCAAATGAACCACCATGTTTGTCTGTCTATAATAAAAAAAACATTAACAAACAGTACATTTAATAGTACGATATAATATTGAGGTTATTTATTGGTGAACAATAGTTATTAACATCTAAAAAACCTGGAACAATGATTATCTAGATAATGATTAATATCTCCTTTTAAATATAACACATTGTGAATGTCATCGATCACATTAACAGTTTTATAATGATAAAAATAAAACGAAGGAAGTGAAAATAATTTATTGCTTTATTGATACAGGCGTTATCTTTTGTCCGATCGATGCGTGATGGCTTTGTTTTTTTTTAACGCGTCCCAAGCAAGACCTCATTAATTTTAGATTCGTTCACAACGAATTGATTTGTCAAATACCTAATATATAAATTATAAATCTTGTTATCACTCTGTCAGTGGTTTTTTATCGGATTTAATTTAAACTTTTTATGATTTTTCATTCAACCTTTCGAACTACCTCCTTTGATGTTTTGCCAATTCCAGTTTTGGAGCAAGAAACTTCGCGGTTGCGAGGTATAAAGAATTATTAACATATTAATAGCGGCGGAAATGAAAAATATATTAAATTCAGTCGGAGCCCCGTGACTCGTCAGTAAAGTACCAAACGACTCCATTTTGAGGGTTGCACCACAGAGTAGGGTGATACAGAGATTTCAAGCAACGTCTTTATGTCTTGCGGATAAAAGTTTTGTTTTCATTAAAAAGAGCTATTAGAATAATATATTCACCTAATAATAATATTTAATCAATCATCATGTCTGTAAAATGATATATATATATGTCTATATATGTATTTTATAAACAATAAAACTATAAAAAATCATATACATTTGCTTTTGTGCAGATTTATATAGCTGATACTTGCAATAGAAACTTCATAGAATGTATGAGACTGTTAGAGGCAGAGTGGCCTAATAAAAAAATCATGATTTTTAATAAGTAGAAAAACAAAAATGCAGTGTAGATTTCAGAGTATATATATTTAGAGTATAAACATATAAATAACTCAAGTCATAACATTGCAGTGACCCTGCCTCTAGCCGGCCTCGGCCTCAAATGTCCGTCGTATAGAAGGCAGTGAACGGCGTCTCTGTGTACCGCATTACTCTGTAATCCACAAAAGGGTTCCACAGCTTAAAACAGCCACTTATTATGTATGTTACATTTCACTTTCAGACGTCATTTATATTCAAATGCTCAAAAGGCATTACTGGGCAAAAATTGTAGAATTAACCCCTTTGAAATGAGCGAAATTGGTTCCGACAAGGAAATCATTTTTCACGATCTTGTGTTGTACCTAATGCTGTTATTTTCATCGTGCGCTGATGTCTTTTGGGAAATTAATTTGATATTAGTAATATTATTGTAATACGCCCGCAGTTTTTAAGCAATCGGCGATACTATTTTGAAATAAATTGCTTTTTGTCTTGGCAAACTTTATTGCTAAAGGAATTGTTATTTTACTGAACGCATTACGTGCCATCAAAATCAATTTAAACTTAAGTTTGACGAGCATTTAAAATTGAACATACGTTTTAAAATTGAATTAATTTGGTCTGAGCTGATGAGTTTGTTTCTTTGAACGCGCTAATCTCAAGAAATACTGGTTCTAATTGAATTTTTTTTTCGGTTGGATAGATATCGAGGAATAGTTTCTTATAACAGTTTTCACGCTGCGACCAATAGGGGAACAACATTGGGAAATGTCGAAAAACGGAAAGAAATATTCTTCATAGTGGGTTTCCGTTGCGTTGGGTGCGCTGCGAAAACGGTTCAAGATACCAAAAAATATGCTTTAAATAGTGATTTCAAAACAACAAAACAATTTAATAAAGTATTCACGATCAGTATATGTCCATCTTTCAAGATTAACTTGCAAGAATAACGAGGTACCACGGGGTAAAGGCTAAAATTTTTAAAAATAAAGGGGTTTTCCAAAAAATTTTTTTTTTAAAACCCTTTTTATGTTTCCCCGGGGGGCCCCCCTTTAAAAAAAAAACCCCGGGGGGTTTAACCCCCGTTTTTTTTTTTTTTTTTTTTTTTTTTTTTTTTTTCCCCCCCCCCCCCCCGGGGGGGGGCCCCCCCCCCCGCCCCCCCCCCCCCCCCCCCCCCCCCCCCTTCGGCCCAAAGGGCCTATAGCACGCCAAAAACTATTCCGCGTACTACGAAGTGCGGCCCAGCTAGTGAATAAATAAAAACAATAGTGCACACCGTGCTTAAAATAAAATAAAAATGCTAAGAAGAAGAATAATAAATACACCCAACAAGCAAAAAGATACGAAACGGAAGCTTATAAGCTAATAATTCATAATCAAACGTGCCCGAAGAATTAGGGTAGCGGTTCGCATCCGTACAAAATGATTACATACCGTCTTTATCCGTTCACAAAGAAACGCAGCGGGGTCCTACAATATTATACTTTTCGCTTTGTAGTTGGACTACTGCGCAGTGGGTAGCTTCGCTTATGGTTTCCAATGATAAAACTGTTTGTTAGTGGCTTTGTTACCGTTCTGTTGATTCCATTTGCGTGGTAGCGTGACCGATTTATTGCTGCTACTTTAACGAGATACTGACATATGAATACAGCATTAATAATATCAATTAATGCGCTGCCGGCTCATGTGCCCGTGCCTTCGCGTGTTTCGTACTTTTTTGCCTCACATAAATTAATCAGTGGGTGAATTTGTTGATTAAAAATTATCAACGTTTCAATAAGTATTGCGACGTGCTGAGTATTGGTTATTGATGATATGGTCGCTTTGATTTTATTTTGATTGCATTTTATTATGGTAAAATACTTGGGACAGTTTTAGAACCGGATAAGTTTTACGACTTGTCTACCATACCATAAAATACCATGATAACCTTATAAGTAAAATCCCGTTGCCCTCTTGGAGCATTTTAGTTTTACAGGCAAGTATTTGATTTGACTTCTGTGCCCTGCCCGACCGAAACAATCTATTGTTTCCCCGGCATTTGAACCCGGCCAACGATACGCAATGCTAGGCACCACGTTTAGTCAGTTATTTCTTAATTTACACGTAAATAAACTTTACTTGCTCTATGGTTTTATGCATAGAAATTCATATATAGTATAATATGTAGAAGGAAATTCTTAAGATTTCCAAGAGTAGAGGTGCCTTATCTTGCGTCAAAATAATAACATACGGGAGCTTTCGCCCGCGGCTACGTCTGAACGTCACGGATCGTGAAATGCGAAGCCTCCATTGTACTAGCTAGATCTTAGACTTGCACTAAGATATTGATTATAATAAGTATTAAGTATACTAAACTAACAATAGATTTAACATCGAAAGAGAGGTCATCGATCACCCTACCCCCATTTTAATATCCAGATTTCCAAACGAAGTCTAACCTATTTCAGTAAATGTTTAAAACGAATGGAGAAATGTTGGATTTGGTGGGGATCGATCCCACGGCCCCTTAATTATTAGACCCATTTCATTTCTTACTATATTTTATATAGCCTAGGTCTATATCTGTCTCTGTTTGGTTTCAGGTTACGCGATGAGAGAGGCGACATTGAACGCGTCATAGCGATGGATAAAGCTCGCGAAGGTTCACATAATGGTACGTTCAAACGGTTTGACGTTTACCTTGTTACATAACTTATTACGAACATCAGTGTTTCTTCAATACATTTGTCAAAATACTCACCTTTCGGAATGAGTACAAAATTGTATACTAACCCTCGATTTGAACCTAGGTCCTATAAAAGGCACTATGGAGTCATTTCAATAAACAACCCAGGTAATTTAGCCTGTCCGTGACAAAGAGGTCTTTATTAGATAGTCTAAGTACAAAAGCTTTTTGAGTTAGTATTTATCTTTAAAAAATTTTTTACATAAGTGGCGATCAAATACATTTATTTTGTTCTTTCTAAGACTATAAATGATTTACATGGTAATAATAAAAACGTTTACCGGTTTTAAACGCAAAATATATTGCTAAATTTAAATTTAAAATAGTCTTTTTTTAAAAAGTTAATAATTTAATTTAAAAAAATATTTTTAACATAAAGGTGATCAAATATACTTATTTGCATAGTATAATAATAAATGAAACACTTTTAACTGTTTAAAACGAGAAATTTATGGGGTGAATTAAATTAAAATGATTTTAACTAATGTATTTTGCGTTTTAAACCGTTAAGTGTTCTATTTAAATGTTAAAATTATGTCAATACACAATGAATTACAATATCCAAGTTAAATACATATATGTAAAGATATATGCAACGAACTGTTTCCCTTGCAGGTTCTTCACCTGGCCACAGTCCTGTGCTCAACCTATCAAAGTCGGGCTCCGGAGACCGCGACAGATCTGACCGTGAAAGGGATCGCGGTGAAAGGGGCGAAGGCTCGGCCAGTGGGCGAAGTTCTGCAGCGTCACGCCGGACGCCGCAGCCACCTCGGCTACCTTCGGCTGCCACAGCGCCATCTCCAAGATCACACACCGATGAGAGTGATGCTGCACTTTCTGACCAAGACGACCATAATGTTAAGGACGAGGATGAAGGTATGTTAGAACACTACTTGACAATTACATTAGATTTTTAATTATATAGTACCATCATGTGCAATTTACATGTAAAAAATATTTCAAAGTTTTCTATTAAAACATATATTCTTATATTAAAAATTTAAACGGGAAATTATTTATGTTAAACACTTTGAACAGTTTGAAACGCGAAATATATCCGTCAATATATTGCTTACTAGGACGCAACGCTTTTTATCTATTTATTATCGTGACTAGTTCGTATCTAGTGCTTCAATTAAAACGGTGACTGATCGTTCGGTAGATTAGCAAAAAAAGTAAAGAGCTACTCAAGCTAGATATTAATAGTATATGGGAAACAAAAAGAACGTAGAAACAATCTCGACTGTAGAAATATAAATAAATTCCCATGACTCCTCGCTATTTTTACACCTTTGGGAGTATACGGCTTCTACGACCTGCTCTTGACATCTATACTCTACACGAATATACATATAAAGCCCAAGAGTTTGTTTGTTTGTTTGTTTGTACACACGAATCTCAGGAACTACTGGTTTGAGTCGATTATTTTTGTGTTGGTTAGGGCATTTATTGCGAAAGGCTATAAAACGTTTCGCTGTGACTAAAGGAGCACAGAAACGGCGTGAAATGTGGAAAAAACGGGGAAAATTATTTTCCCTGTGGGTTTCTGATGCTACTATGTGGAAATGGTTCAAGATGCCCAAACAATATGTGGGAAAGAATGATAGCTCTTTCAAATTATCTTTAAAAAAACCGCGACACTATACCTATGTGTATCTTTTAAGATTAACTTGCAAGAACGACGGGACGCATGCGGCGTCGTTGGGTAGATTTAGATAAAAGGACGTTTGAAAAAACAATTTTAGATGCTCAAAATTACTATTCTACGCGTATGAAATCGTTGACACTGATAGTTTCTATTATCTGCAATCGACTTAACCGCAAACATTTAATTGTACATGCAAAAGTAATTTTAAACTAGAGATCGTGTAGGTACGTCACATTATACAAAATTACACACGCGCTGACGGACGGACTACAATATTTTCTCTTAGCTTTTTGTAGATTGATTTTATTCTATATTAAATACTATTATGACTATCTCCATCAGTCCATGATCATCAATCAAGAGAAAATTTGTTATTAATGCAGCGTCATGAAATTATCTGACGATAGCAATTTGAAGCTAGTGTTCAAATGAAAACGTGTAAATGTTTATAACAATCTGACGATGTAATAATAAAAAATGGCGAAGACACAAAGTTTTTTTCAGGGGATATTTTTTTTAATTCTATCATTAAAAAAAACACTTCAAACGGTTTAACGCAAAATATACTACTTAAACTCCATTACCACGGCTGCTGTAAATCTTCCGAAACTTCGGACCGCAGTTAATATAAATTAATAATTTATCTATGTTTTGAACCGTTAAATGTTTTCTATTGAAATGTATACTCCTCGCGATAACTACAAATAATACTTTAACTCCGCGATATTTACTTTCTACGATTTACGTGTAAGGCTAACACGAGCAATAATTACGAGTCGTTTAAAACTAAAAATTATATTAAGTTAAACATACCCATATACACGAAGTAACAAAATCATTACCCCTCCTTTTCTTTCTTCGTCGTCGGGTAATCTAGAAACTTGGACTTGCGAATGGGGACCGTGAAGCCAAAACAATGATCGACAAATGTAAATACTTGATGAGTACAATAGCTAAATTACTTGAAACAATAACGTGTGTATACTTCAGTTATTGAAGACTGTACACAAAATTGAAAAGCGTGGGAAATATTCCATCCGAAGGGTTGGCGATTATTATATGAATTGTAATTCAAAACTTGAGATTTGCCTACCTTTATATTTTTAAAGGTGCGTCCACGCAGCACTTCCTTTTTGAGATTACTAATTAACATTGCGAGGTAATTAAAAAATGAATTGATTGTTAACATGTGAAAAATATAACGTCGTATTTTACTGCATTTTTCGTAATTAAAGATTGTGGTTGAAGTTTATTTTTGATCTTGTATTAAAAAAAATTGTATTATACTTCGTAGTAAGTGAGTAAGTTATATAGTATAGTGGTTTATCTAAAGGTAAATAAATAGTAAATCAACATGGTAATGTGCAAACATTATTTGGTTTTTCGTATATTTGTATAAGAATAACAGTTGAAAACGTTGCTATGGATGCCACTCAAAAATTATCTTGAATAAATAATTGCAGACCTAACGATATATTTATAATTAATTCTAAACGAACATCACGATCGAGATTAAGACTACGCTAAGTACAAAAAAGCTTTTCCCCAACGGCTGTGTCATTCAACTTTGATCTTTGTTGAACTATAATATTACCTCTTTCCAATCACAGGTCGGTCTTCAGATTAGTGTTAGCGTTGATTGTAACTATAGGTGTTAGTAGATAAGGTTGAAATTTGCATGATTGATATTTCGTTAATTGGTCTTATTAGGCAGATCGTGTTGTGACAACTGAAAAGTGCTATCGTGAGCATCGACAATGACGAAACGATGTTGTCTTCATTAGGTGATGAGCACTATCTTGTCAGTTAAATTAAATGTATCGATAGATTACTTTGGACCGTGAGAAAACTGATTAGTTTCTTTTTACTCAGGTTTACACTAATGTAAATTAACAAGGTCACAAGGAAACGTAAACTGTTATTACATATTACAATATGAAAGGTGAAATTTTCTCCGAATAATTGTATGAACGGGCAAGTAGTTGATAAGTGCTCTGCCCAACTGAGTTTTTTTGCTTCGGAAATCGAACCTAAGACCTCATAGTTTAAGACAATGAGAAGCAAGATTTTGAACTTTTGAATTTGTTTTTTTTTTGTTTTCTTCGGCTTTTACTGAATATAGGGCCGTCTAAAACTCTTAGTAACATTGTAGTGAGTTAATATTTTTTCAATTATAGATAACCTCTTAATGTGAGAAATACTACAAGACATCTTTCATATTATAATTGTACTACTTTCTACCATCTTTTAGATTGTTATTCGAAGATCAAATAAATATAGATGGAAATGTTTATCTTAGTGTAATGTTAAATTAAAGAAATCAACATTTAAAACATTAAATTGAGCTATCCATCATAAGTCGTTTATTATATCGGAATCGTTACATGGGAATTCATTTGCATCCAAGCCCTACTAAGCATAGAACCACGCGATTACGATGTTCATGCGCAGTTATAATTGCAATATGAACGATGCGCGCACGCAACTCTGTTGGGCTTTAGTGTAATGGTCGGACTTATATCTTGTAAGATTCTGATCGAATTGAAATCTCATCTCAACTTAAATTAATGGACGTGGAGTTAAAATGTATGTTTATAAAGTTTTGTATTTTTACAGCTTATTGCACATAGTGGCACTATATCAATAAAAGCACACATAAATATACTATATAGACTCCACTATAGAGTTTATATTGTATGTATATATATATACCTACGATATTGACTCCACTTGTACTTATTGTTCATGGTAATAAAGATGAATGTACTTATCTTTAGGTGGTGATCTAAGCGATGGAGAACGAGACCTTCAATCTTCCAACTCCCCAGCGCCAGTGAGCTATGCCCCACAATCCGGATCGCCGCCCTCCGTTCCAGTTGACCCGACAGCGGACACCCTGGTGTCTTCAACCGAGACACTCCTGAGGAATATCCAAGGGCTCCTCAAAGTCGCCGCTGACAACGCCCGCCAACAGGAAAGACAGATTAGTTACGAAAAAGGTAAGACTATAAAACACACGTTTCTACACTAAAAAGTGTATCTGATACTAGGAAAGAATGACATGTATAGTAGTCCGATAAACAGTAATTCTGATAATTGCCATTGAAATCTTGAGAGGGGGGGGGGGGTTTCTATTTCGTAGCTTAATATAGCTTTGTTGAGAAGAGAAGGGGGTAAAGGAGCTTAAACTTTTTCGGCATTACAAAACTACCTACATATTAAAATTAGAATGGGGAATAGGTATTTTTTCTAATAAATAATACAATATTCCCTAAAATTCCCAGAATTCTGCTTTTCAATGCTCCAATTCCACTACTTCTTTTAAGTATTTTTTTTAAAGAGAAACATATTTCAAAAGTATTCTCGTATATAAGTAATTATTGAGTCATTTCTCGGGTCTTTCAACAGCTAACTTTATCGTTATTAACTATGTTAGATCTTATCTTTACGACTCTGAAATAAATTATACATCATACAAAATTTTCTGCGATTATGTCAAATTATTTAAATTAGACCATGATCTGATGCATATATTATAATTGCCATTAGTTTTTTTACTATCATATAACATGATAAATCTTTTCTGAACTATTCTTATGAATGCTCAAAGTATTTTTTGATGTCGGCGAACCTATATAGTTCGTTGTAGAGCGATGTACGGTCTGCATCTTCTAGCGCAGAAAATATTAAGTCGGTAAATAAAAAATTCAATTATAGGCGATATATAATTAGTAAGTTAAAGAAGACCAATTTAAACCCAAATATCTCACATCAATCAATTTTTTGTTAGTCTTCGAAGAGGGATTATTGAGTAGAGAGTAATTATTTGATATAAATAGTATTAAAGCATTTTGTACAATTATGAGCACAGTATGATGTACGGAGACAGTACGAGTACAAATAACAGCGGCGGCGCGCGCGTCGTGCCGTTTGCAAATAGCCGTAGAACAGATGCGCCTGAGTTATAGCCCAGCCCACTATCATTACATACGATTCCATTCGGACAGCATAATTGTTTAATTGATATTTCTTCGAGTTATTTATTCACGTCATTCCGTTTTCCCCATGAGAAATATCTTCGTGCGCTATGCCCGTCGAAACGGAATGCCTCGTTGAAACGTCTATCTATTACTTCTCAACTTAACAGCTATGAAACTGCTAAGTTATTACCACGATAACACGCATTTATCGATTGTTTAAGCTATCTTCTACGTTGCGGAATATTAAAATAAACGCCATCATTATACAGTTTGCGAGTGGCTAAACAAAAGAATAACGAAACACAATTGTTACGAGATCCGTAAAAATACAGAGGAGGCGAAAACTCGCGGCCGGAGTCATCATCAAAACTTGAATATCAATATTGCGCCTCGAGCCAATTGTATTAATAAACAAAACAAAATGGGAAATAATAATGCTATAGGCCAACAAAAGGCTTCGTTCCCCCCCGACATGTAAATGCGATAAACGAATAGCCCCCTAAACGCTCTCTATTAAGATTCGAAATTGTGCGTGTGCGAACCCGTAATTTTGTTATTACGATAATAAAATTATTGTTGATGAAACATTTTACGAATCGACGTATCTGGCGAACTTTACTGTCGATTTTTTATAGAAATTACAGCAATCACTCGCGTGGCCCGCTCGCTTCGATTGATAGGTGTTACTGGTTGCGAGGCTCGCATATTTGTTGGCTTATCTCTTAATATCTTGTATTTCATTGGCTACGATGTTCTTCGTAATTTTATACCCTTATAAGACATATTATAGCTATATGGTAATTGCACAAGAATAAATACTGTCTATAGTTTAAGCGAGTAGTACACATTTAAATAAAACACTTTAACGGTTTAAAACGCGATATATTAGTTAAACTATTTGAAAATGATCATTAACTAATATATCGCGTTTTAAACCGTTAAAGTGTTTTATTTAAATGCACAAGAATAGTTTGTTAATAAGTAAATAGTAACTAATGTGAGATACCTTACCAATTCAAAACCGTTCTAAAATCGTGTTCTTTCGGTATAACTTATATAACTAAAATATATTTAGTAGAGACTAGAGACTTAATTTCAAGACAATCACAGACTTTAAAAGAAGCAGTTCCTATAAACATTTTTACTACTAGTGACTATTTATACTGCCCATAGTTTACGCGAGTAGTACGCATTGAAATAAAACATTTCAACGGTTTAAAACGCGATATATTAGATTTCGGACCCCGTGACCACGGTTGCTGCAAATAATCCGAAACATCGAGTCGAAGTTAAAGATCATTTTCAAATAAGTTATTTAATATGTCGCGTTTTAAACAGTTAAATGTTTTATTTAAAAGTAACTATTTATGTTTTCTGTAGATAACGTGGCGGATAAATGGTGGTAAATAAATCACTTTTAAAGGTTTTAAGCTAACACCACGTCATCACCGTCACAGATGAAAGCCGTCAATAGCATTTCGCTATCAGTCTGTGTCAAAATTACGACACGGGCGCGACTTGCACCGGCATCTTCAGCGTTTTGTGCTGTTCTTCTAACCAAATTGAGCTATCATGTCTTACATCATCGTTGAATTTTCTCAACCTATTGATATAAGGACATGTGGATTTCCGAATATTCAGATGTTCAGATGTTTTCCTTTCATCAAGTGAATGTCTATCTTTCTCTAAAAAAATAGGGTCGCAATTAAACTTACACAAAATATTTCCCGTTTAATAGTGTTTTATTTAAAGCTACATATACCATTGACGTCAGTCCACGTACCTAACTACACATACAAACATTTAATCGCCCTTCCGTCCCTAGTAAATAAAAGATCACTATCTAGACACATTTGCTGGCAATTTTTACACTAGACATGCAGACTGCAAAGTGGGTGTCGCAGACAAATGTGCCTCGTATTCACTGCGTTATCAGATAACCGTGAGAAGGGTTGTTTGAAAGGCTTTGGCTATGATAAACCTTGCGATTTGATCGTGTAAATAGACATGCTATGAATGGGAAATTCTGACGTTTTCAGAGGACGAAATAGAAGATGGCCTGACGTTTATGTAGGAAAACACTTGCGTAATAAATATGTGTAGTGTAACATTTCAAACTAATCTTATTCCTTTTGTTACTACTGAGGTCAGCCTCAGTAGGAAAATATTGATTAAAAATATAATGTCAAGTACAAACAGTAGGGACTAGTTGTTGCGCGAGTAGTACACATTTCAATAAAACACTTTAACGGTACGGTCATTTTAGCCGTGGAGCAGCCGTGGTCAGTCTCCCCGTGACCACGGCTGCTCCAAAACATTCGAAACGTCGGGCCGTAGTTAAAAATTATTTTCAAACAAGTTTAACTAAAATATACCGCGTTTTAAACCGTTAAAGTGTTTTATATATAACGTGCTTACCCTTAATTTTAAAATTAATTAACAAATATATTTCAAATTTTAAATCTTTGAAATTTTAATGTTATATTAGCTAACTAGCTGAATTTGGTTTGCTAAACCTTCTTTTTCCATAATAAGTAGGTATTTCGACGAACTTTGATTACCAAAAAAACGGTCATTGTTAAGTAATCTCAAGTGATAGATGTATACTATCGCAGACAGTGTTTTAAAGTATTTGTATAAAAATAATAATTTTATATATAATTTTTGGGTTTCAGACATGAATAATTTTCCCTATACATACATAATATAGAATAGCTTTGCAATATTAGTATATAGATATAACATTAAAATAAAAAAAGACTAGACCAAACGTTCCAAAACATCGATATCGTGCGATACGAAACGTTTCTCCGATTTAAGGTGCCCTTATAAAATAGCAAGAGTCGTCCGATTGCGATCGTCGCATAAATCTGCTTCGGCTACCTTTAATCCCTGTTAACTCTTACTTAGTTTATTTCTGGACCGTCCCGGCTCTTGTTACCGCGCTTTTATGCGCCTCTTTTGTTTTACAACTATCAGTTTTTGTTAAGCTAAGTGCTGTTGAACGGACAAATGGCACATGCGCTAGTAGATAGCGCGAGTACTTTATGGGTACTGTGTAAAGGGAATTCACTCCATATCTGGAGATAGTGCTAGTAGTCACCCGGTACGCAGTATTAGTTCACTTTGTAGATTGTTGTACAAATTATTGTAGGAGATGCAATTATTTGACACGGTAGCTCAATTGGTTAGAGGTTAGGGAAGCTGTGGGTGCGTTTTAGGTCCGCCCGTGTCGTTTTTTTTTTATTATATGAAAAATATAACATATAACTATAACACGAAAACCTATTAACGTTGTGAAGCATTCATTTCATTATCCTTTAAATACAGTAGACTCTTTTTTGCTAAAGTCAAAGATAGAGCCATAATTTGAAAAACGAGAAAATATTATAAGACGGAAAGACGTCAAACGTCAATAATAATCTAAATCACAAAATTTTAGAGAAGTAATACCTTTTCTTTGAAGTTGGTATTTCGAGAATTTCGTACTGGGTAAAATTAATTGTAAATAAGTTTTTTTTTTTTTTTTTTTTAACTAATACATTTCACATTTTTAGTGTGTATTGTAAGTGTTTTATTTTAATGTACATTATATTTTTTGAGAAAGAATAAAACGAGAATAGGAGTCAACGTTTAAATAGATAAACACAAATTAAAAAACGATTTTATGAAAAAAGTTAACGACGGAGGCTCCATGTGAAAAAAACGACAGCGTTCTTATTTGAACCAATTGAGCTACCGTGTCGCATACCGTGTAGGTATAAAACATTTCGCTTAAGTTCCGACTGGCTAAATGCAATACGTCTAGGGAAACAAACCATCAATAATGTGAATATGACCGATCGAACAAACATGCACTGGTCAATGATAAAAACTGATGAGCAAATAAACAGACAGGACTTGTGTACTCAGCTAATGGATTCAATTGATATGAAAGCTTTTACAATGACGGGACAGATGCTATTACGTTGTGGTGAAATCAAATTAGTGACAATTTGCGATTCCCTTTTTATTTAACG